GAATGAATTTTCAATCTTTTACTTCCTAGCTATGGTCCTAGCTATATTCTGTTTCCTTATCTGAAGAAGGGAAATATGGCACCAATTTTGCCGGAGATTTAAAGATGTACTGCTGGCCCTCCCTAGTGATGCAGTGGGTTAAAGCGCAGCACTACAAGGGAGCCACAGCCGCTTCAGTGCAAGTTCAAACCCTGCCCCAGAGGTGACCACACTGCGCAGCAGACTTCTCCTTTCTAGCCTGCTGCTCCCCTCGGCGGTGTACTTTGTAGATCTGCCTGTTCTGTTCCCCATTCTGTCTCTGGTGAATCCTCTCACCGTGGCCCCTGCACCTCTGGTCTGTACCCCAGTTCTGTACGCATAAATTTATTTATTTATTTTAAAGATTTATTTATGTATGCATACAGAACTGGGTACAGGTCAGAGGTGCAAGGAGCAGGGATGGTGAAAGGATTCACCACACACAGAGCAGGGAGCAGAACAGGCAGACTGTTGAAGTACACTGCTAAGGGGAGCAGCGGGTAGGTCAGGAGAGGTCTGCCACACCATGTGGATCACCTCCGGGGCTGGAGGGAATCGAACTCATACGGACGTGGCTTTAGCCTCCCAGTGCTGTGCTTTAACCCACTGCGCCACCAGGGAGAACCCACATAAATAAATTTTTTTTTAAAAAGATATACTGCTATGGAGAGCTTAATACAATGCTTAGTACATGGATATATGCTCAATACATACTAGCTGCTAGAATTATTATAATGCCTGAGGCTTACTTATAACTCTATAGGCTATATACATGCTTCCCACTCCTAGGCAAAACTAAAATTGGGGAGAGACAGCTCAGTTCAAAAACAGAGAAGTTACTCTTTGAGACTATATTTCTGGTAAATAGCTCTAAGTGTTGCCCTAGAGTATCAGTCTGATTCAGCCTTCTTGAGAAAAACTTAGTTTCATTGTCACCTTTCTTTCAAACGGGTCAGACTTTTGACCTGAGAACTTGGTAGTTGTCATTAATTTTTAATTATAACATCCAATTTTTAAATCATTAAGAAACTGAGTGTCAGGAACAGCAACTGTTAACAGATTATAATGACTCTGAAATATTCCTGGAACACAGTATCAAAATCTGTTTTCATTTCACCCAGAAAGTTGGCTGACAAATGGAAATTTCAGGTATTATTTACATAAGACATTTGAAAAATCAGTTCCTAGCTTCAGGAATATTATTTCTGACTTCCATTCCCCTTAAACTATCTTTCTTCTTACTTGGTGAGGTTAGCTTTTCCACGCAACTCACGAACTTGTGCCAGTAGAAGATCAGGACATAACTTCTTAGCATCATCTGCCCACATGTTTCTCGTGACCCCAAATGCACGTGCTTCATAACTCACTGAAATTATTCTAAGATTACAGAAAAGGGGGAACAGAAAAATATTACATGATCACAAAATTAACATGAACAGAATTCATTAATAGAAACTTTCTGGTCACAGATGCATTACTTAAATGTAGCAGCTCAAAAATCTCAAAAAAGAGGACCTAGGTTGGTGTCATGTATTCTGATAGGTTAAAATAGTACAGAAACTGTACAGTATCTTATAAGTATCCTTGACAGCTACAAGAGTAATAGTGATACATACCCACCACCTTTCCATGATTTGTACTGTACAACTGCACAAGGTTTATTCCTCAAATGAGGATTTTGCCGCTGTTCCACTTGAACAAAGAAACAGTCCATGTCTACTAAAGCAACTACTCGGTCCTGTCCATTAGCCATTTCTCTGTAAGACAATATTTTATGCATATTTAGAAAGGATACCTAATCCAAAGTGTCAAGAAAAATTGTATTTCCATCTACCATTGCTGAATTTTCATAAGTATGGGGCAAAAGAAACAATTAAAAACAAAACTGGCATTTGTATACATTGCTGGCAAAATTATAAAAAGGTACAATTTTAGGAATGTAACAAGGATTAAAAATTTTAAAAATACCCATTTTCCAAGAATAGAATACTTCACAAAAGAAGATATATTCTGTCAATAAATGTAAATGGACTCATTAGCTATGGAGAAATGCAAAATAAAACCACATTACACACCACTAGGGTGAGGGTGGGTGTAGTCAACTGTTAATGTTACTGATAAATTACAGTATAAAAGTTCAGGGGAAAGATATTTATATAAAATATAAATGATATAGCATTCATGTACTTTTTTTCTTTTAAAATACTTTTAGAGGCCCTCCCTTGTGGCGCAGCGGGTTAAAGCACAGCTCTGAGAATCTAAAGCCGCTTCCACATGAGTTCGATTCCCGCCTGCCCAGGAGGTGACCACATGGCGTGGCAGACCTCTCTGACCCGCC